CACGCTGGCTGCTGGCTACATACGGTAGCCCATGGCAACCCACTGCAGCAGGGGCTGCAGCCTACGCCGTCGCTGGCAACTCATGGGCAGGCCAGCTTCAGATTGATCTGTTGTTGAGCATCTTAGCTGTAGAGGGTAGTGTCACTGGCCCTCATATGTGGGATCCGAACCAGGTCCCTCTGGCGTCCCAAGCCAGTTCTTAACCATCGTGCCACTCGGCCGGCCCAATATGTATGTCTTTTCATCTATCCTAGTTCCTCCCTCCTTTTAAAAAAGTGTGTCATTTATTTGTTGAAGAAGTAGAGTGATTTTTATATGTAATTATCTCATGCGTTGTTTTTTTTTTTAATTGAGGCATGGTTTCTATACAGTGAAATGCATAGATGTTACGTATACAGTTCAGTGAGTTTGGACAAATACATATACTTGTGAAACCCACATCCTTAGAAAGTTTAGAAATAGATCCATACTTGAATGGTCAACTCTGATTTTTTTTTTTTTTTTGTCAACTGATTCTTGACAAAGGCACCAAAGGTCATTTACCATGTCAATAGGTAAAAACCTCTAAGTATGTCATGGACAGTACCAAAAACCTTCATATGTCTTGTTAACTTTCTCTACAGACAGGTATAAAAATCTTCCCACAGTTTCCCGAAAGCTGCAGTTCCTGGAGTTACAGAAGGATTTAATAGATGATTTTAGGATACGACTAACTCAGGTGATGAAGGAAGAGACTAGAGCTTCCCTTGGCTTTCGATACTGTGCAATTCTTAATGCCGTGAACTATATCTCAACAGCGCTAGCTGATTGGGCTGACAATGTTGTAAGTTAATGCGCTTTTATACTAAATAATAGATTAGTAGTTTGAACAATTTTACCTTTTAAAATATTGAATCTATAGCAAGTAAAAATACACGTTAGGCGGAATAACACCTAGGCCAAACTTAGGAGGTGTGATTAAAGTACATGTTTTTCTCAGTCAAGTCTCAAATGGTTAAATAATCCTGATATTTTAATCATTGTTAAAGAAAGCCAACATTTCATGAAATCATTGTTTATAGAATGAAACTTTTTTCTCTTTGGACTTTATACTTGGGAAATATTCATATATGGTAATTACCATCTCAGAAAAAGGTAATATTGAATAATGGTATCAAAATCAATAAAATCCAGGACTTTAAGGAAAAATAAAATAATAACACTTGATACCTGAGGAATGGCTTCAAAAAAATTTGACAAATTATGAAGTCACAAAAATAAACTAGTTTTTAACCTTTAATTTCATACATTAAAAAATTATTTAATATTTTGTTTATTTTTGCACATATACAAGAATAAATAAATAATACAGTGAATCCCCTTGTGCCTATCACCCAACATCTTATACCAATTTTGTTTCACTTAAACCTCTCCTTCACCACTCCATGCTAGATTATTTTGAAACAAATCTCAGATATCATATTTCTTGGTAAATATTTCTATATATCGCTAAAAGATAAAAACTCCTTTTTGAAAAAACATAAAAGATAACCACAATACTATTGTCACATCAAAAAAATTAACTAATTTCTTACCATATTGGGAGGTATATTTTAAATAAATCCAAAAATCAAAACCTTGAGTCTAGTTAACAAGTACTGTAAGGCCTTTTACCTCCAAGAATCTTATTTATCCTTCTATTGTCCATGCAGAGTCCATGTGTTGACAGATTTGGTCTGCCTAAATGTAATTATTCAGTAATAATTTATTTGTATTCTTTTTCTTAATCCAAAGAATATATTGGCTATCAAGGCTTTGGTAACCCAATTTTCCAGTATGTACTTCCAGCCAAAAGAAGAAACTTAATTAGCCTTTATAACCATAACATACATAGATTAGTTCCTTTAGCTGTTTTAGATATTAAAACAATCTCAGAGGGCCTCTGGGAGCTCGGACAGGATGCCCTTGGGTTAGGAATCACTGTTCTACATCTGTGTGGATACAAAAAATCAGCTTGGGTTTTCACTAGCATGTCCCATGAAGTAGGTTTCATGACAGAAAGTGTTAACAGAATTAAGATGACCATAAAACAGTGAAATATGTATTAAATGGTAAAAAAAAACATACTGAGGATAATGAATATGAAGATATGTTATAAATGTAAAGTATTATATAATTGTATCATCAAATGAAAATAGACAGCAAAGTAAGTGAAAACAACTATACTCAAACATTTGCATTGTACAGAGCCCAGAAGTAGAAGAAAGTGAGAAAGGAACAGAAACTTCATTTAAAGAAATAAGGGCTGAAAGCTTTCCTAACCTGGGAATGGAAACAGACATCCAGGTCCAGGAAGTTCATCCGGGAAGATGAACCCAAAGAGACCCACATCAATACACATTGTAATTAAAATGGCAAAAGTTAAAGAGACAATTTTGAAGGACGCAAGAAGAAAAAATAACAAATTACATACAAAGGAAACACCATCAGGCTATTAGCTGATTTCTCAGCAGCAACATTACAGACCAGAAGAGAGTGGCAGGGCATCTTTAAAGCACTAAAAGAAAAGAACCTACAACCTAGAATTATTTATCCAGCAAGGTTATCATTCAGAATTAAAGGAGAGATAAGCAATTTCCTGGACAAACAAAAACTAAAGGAGTTCGTCACCATTAAACCAGCTTTACAAGAAATGTTAAAGGGTCTTTAAGCAGAAAAGGAAAGGCCATAACCAGAAATATGTAAGTATGAGATAGGAAAAAAAAATCTCACAGGAGAAGCAGAAAATATAATAAATAACACATATCAGATACTTTAAAAAGCTACTACGAAGGTCAAAAGAAAACGTATCAGACTCAAACTACAATAAGTAGTTAGGACATACACAACACAAAAAGATCTAAAACATGACATCAATAACAAAGTGCGGGGCCGGCCGAGTGGCGCGATGGTTAAGAGCTGGCTTGGGATGCCAGAGGGCCCCGGTTTGGATCCCACATATGAGGGCCAGTGACACTGCCCTCCACAACTAAGATGCTGAACAATAGCTCAACCTGGAGCTGGGCTGCCACGAGTCGCGGGCGATGGCGTAGGCTGCAGCCCCTGTGGCAGTGGGTTGCCATGGGCTACCGTGTGTAGCCAGCAGCCGCAGTCAGTGGCCGTCCAGAAGCCGGCGACTGATGTGCCTCGCCTGGGAAGAGCGCAATGATGGTGCCAACTTGGGCCAGTGAATCAACGTCCTCCACAACTAGACTGAAGAACAAAAAAATGACAGCAACTTGTCTGCTCCCCTTCCCCGAACTCCCCAGCACTGTTCCCATCCCCCCAATTCCCCAATAAAAACCTTAAAAAAACAAAAAATAACAAAGTGCGGAGGGGAGAGTAAAAATTAGTCCTTATAGAATATATGAGGTGTGATTAAAAAATACAGTGAATGTTTAAATTAAAAAGAAAATTATTTCAGTAAAAGACATGTTGCCATTAAGCACCCTTAAAATACTCCCCTCAGTTTGAACACACTTATCCCATCCTTTATGCCACTTTCTGCAGCAGTTCTGGAAGTCCTTTTTTGTGAGTGTCTTTAGTTGTGCTGCCGTGGCTGCCTCAATGTCCTGAATCATTTTGACTTTGGGGAAGAGCCAGAAGTCACACAGTGCCAGATCCAGTGAATAAGGTGAATGAGGACACACTGAAATGTTTTTATTTGACAGAAATTGCCGTATACCAGAAGCGATGTGTGACACGGAGCGTTGTCATGATGGAGGATGAGTTACAGCACACTTTAAAATACACCTTTTCTCAACCGTAGCTCATACCTGACTGACTGCACTGAACTCGCTGAAATTCTCACACACTGTTACTAAGGTCTGACGCGCCACTTCCCTTATTGAAGATCCTGTTGGATGGCACTCGGCAGCAACATTCACTGTATTTCTTGATCACAACGGAAAGGCTCCATGTCACACCTTGCTTTTGGTACAGCAATTTCTGTCAAATAGAAACATTACTGTGTGTCTTCATCCACCTTATTAACCGGATCTGGCACCGTGTGACTTCTGGCTCTTCCCCAAAGTCAAAATGATTCAGGACATCGAGGCAGCCATGACAGCGCAACTAAAGACACTCATGAAAGAGGATTTACAGATCTGCTTCAGAAAGTGATAAAGAACGATGGGATAAGTGTCTTCGAAGCAAAGGGGAGTATTTTGAGGGGGATTAATGGCAATGTGTTTTATACTGTAATAACTTCTTTTTTAATTTAAATATTCACTTTTTTTTAAAGATTTTTATTGGGGATTTGGAGGAGGGGAACAGACAAGTTGCTGTCCTTTTGTTCTTCAGTCTAGTTGTGGAGGACATCGCTTCACTAGCCCATGTTGGTATTATCATTGTGCTCTTCCTGGGTGAGGAAGATTGGTCGCCACCCACTGGACAGCTGCTCACTGCCGCTCTTGGCAGCTCACACCAGCTGCCAGCCACTCACAGTAGCTAATGGGAGCCCATTACAGCTCCACTGCAGCCTACGCTGTCACCGGCGACTCATGGCAGCCCAGCTCCAGGTCGAGCTGTTGTTCATCATCTTAGCTGTAGAGGGCACAGTGTCACTGGTCCTAATGTGGGATCCAAACCGGGACCCTGCTGCTCAGAGCTGGCGTCCCAAGCCAACTCATAAGCAACGTGCCACGCGGCCTGCCCCTGTGCTGGTGATTTTGATCTCAATGACGCTTCTCGGTCAGGGAGGCCCACCGAGGTTGATGACGACAAAATACAGGCATTGATCGAGTCAAACCCATGTTACATGACATGAGAGATTGCAGAAACATTGAACATCCATCATTCAAGCGTTCACGACCACCTGAAGAAGTTGGGATACGTAAGCAAGCTCGGTATTTGGGTTCTGCATAAACTCAAAGAAGTTCATTTGACGGCGCATATAAACATCTGCGATATGCTCATTAAACGTGAGCAAATCAATCCTTTTTTGAAGCGACTGATAACTGGTGATGAGAAGTGGATTGTTTACAACAATGTGGTGCCCAAACGGTCTTGGTCCCAACATGATGATTTGCCTCAAATGACATCAAAAGCAGACATTCATCAGAGGAAGGTTATGCTCTCAGTGTGGTTGGATTTTAAAGGTGTGTTTTTCAAGCTTCTACCAAGGAACCAAACAATCAATTCAAATGTGTATTGTTGGCAATTGGACAGTTTGAGCGAATCCATCATCCAGAAACGTCCAGAGCTTGTTAATTGTAAAGGAGTTGTGTTTCATCACGACAACACGAGACCACACACAAGTTTGATCACCCGTCAAAAATTATTGGTGCTTGAATGGGATGTGTTGCCACACCCACCATACTCGCCTGACCTTGCGCTGTCAGACGTCCACTTGTTTCGCTTTCTTCAAAACTCCTTGCATGGTATAACGTTCAATTCAGATGAGGCTGTAAATCAGCACCTTGTTCAGTTTTTTGCAAATAAAGACAGATCCTTCTATGAATGAGGCATTATGAAGCTCACTGAAAGATGACAAAAGGTTATCGAACAAAACAGGCAATATATCATTGATCTTTGTTCTTTATATAAATAACCTTTGAAAAACACAAACAAAATACATCGTGACTTTTCCGACAACCCAATAATTAACCATGGGTCAAAGAGGAAAGCAAAAAATCAAGCCATTTACCCTTGGGGGACAAAAAAGGAGCAATTAGGGAATATGTTTCAAATTTTAACCAAAATAAAAAAATAGAACTAAAATAATATCTGTGTTTGGATTTTCAGCAAGGTGAAAAAAAGCAACTATAATTATAAAGACTTGAAAGTACCACTTTTAAATTGAATTGGAAAGGTGAGGATTGAAAAATTACAGTTAAATAATTAGAAAGACTGATTAACTGAGGATTGGTGATAAGTTCACAATAAACTAAGGAAACATAATTTTTTTTTTTTCATGCGGGAGTCGAACTGGCAACCTTGCTGTTAAGAGTGCATGCTCTATCCATTGAGCCATCCGGGCTGCAGCTCAGCTCAAGGTGCCGAGTTTAGGAAACAGAATTTTTGAGTGTGCCCAGATGAGTTACAAAGATGGACAAGGTCAATTAATTTAAAATTTCTGTACATTGTCAAATCTTAATGCAAGCAAATAAAAAATAAGTGAAATATAGTCAAACACAGACATTTAAAAATATTTATTACTTCTGTTAGGGGGGAAATCTAGAAAAAAGAATGTATCTTAATTTATGACAAAAAAGTGTAGTATACTGCTAATGCATTATGTAATTTGTTGTATACAGAAGAAAAAATTATGATATACTGCTAAAGCATTATATACAAGAAAATGTATTCCTTTGCTGTGAAAGAAAAAAAAGTATCTTAAATACAGGATAATAAACCAAAATAAATAGGAAACAATAAATATACTAATAACAGATATAAACAAAAAAAATCTGATAAACAGCCATAGTTTATTCTAATCTGGACTCTTTGGCTATGAAAATAATTATTTAAAGCCCCTTTTTTCTACAATAATGTTAGCTGAAATCCATGTGCATAATAACATTGTGCTGCCTAAGGAAAATAAGACGAAGTATTTCACAATTATTATTTCAAATAATTATTTCAGAATGAATACAATGCAGAGTGTAATGATCAATGCATTTATCTTTATAAAGTCACCTAATCAGAATACATTCACTCATTGTCTACTTTTATGTCTCATGTTCCTAGTTTTAGTAAGTACTTTATTCACTCAGCCCCCACATCACTCCATTTTCTGCTAAGCTTTTTCAGCAGTATGAAACAAATTGTCTTTGAGTCTGTGCCAGATGATCTAATAAGAAACTCATTCAAGGAGAGATTTTTAGCTTCAATGAAATATTTGTGGAACATTTATTTAACTACTTTACTCGCTGCCTAGCCTTTGATAAAGATGAATTGGCCATCATCCCTATCCTTAGAAAATTACCTGACGCTGAAAATTTATTATCTGATGCTGAATTAACTGTCCTTCTGTCAACACAGAAATAACCAAATTTTAGAGTTGACTCTTTAAATCATGAGTGAATTCTGTGCCCTAGTATATGATTAGAGTACAAATTCTGTTTAACATCAGAAGTCCATTAATCATCTTGATAGCCCTTCAGCCCGTGAATGCTTTAAATAAAAATCATTAAAGCTCTTGTATTCCATAGAAAAAGTAAAAGTAAAAGTGGATGAGTTCACCTTCCATTCATTCAGATTTCTCCACTAATAGCTGTCTGTCCATTGCTAGATTGTGCCAAGCCTGACATGTCCAGCCATTCAGAATTAGGAATTTTTCAATTGTCGGTGGCACAAACCCACTTTACAGTCCTCAGTGGGAAGTGGGGTAGAGTGAGGAAGTGAGGAATTTGTGTAACTCAAAAAGGATTAGGCATAGTTGCTCTAAGGTTGTTTTCTGGCTTCATTCTCATACACACTCTGCTAAGTGTGGCCATAAGTGGCTCCAGGCCCACATGGCTCATCAGCAGTCTCAAAAGGACTGCCTCTTCCCTGAGAGTTTCAGCAGAAATACCAAGGTGGCCTCTCAACATGGCCATCCCTGAAAAATCACTAAGTGTGGCCATCCCCAGTCCCCTATTAGTAGACATTTAGGCTCTTTTAATCTTTTGCTAATATCCACAGCATTATTTTCCTATAGGGCAGAAAGAACAATACTAATTCTACCTAAAATACCTCTGTAAAAATGACATTTTAATTCTCTTAACTCTTACATCTGCTAGGTTTATTACAACTTTCGATCTGTCTAGAAAAAATGAGGAGTACTTAAGTATGGTAACCATCAGGGAAATGCAAATCAAAACCACAATGACATACCGCTTCATACAAACTAGGATGGCTATAATAAAAACGACATAACAGTTATCACAGATGAGAAATTTGAATCCTCATGCACGGCTGATGGGAAAATAAGATGGTGCGGTTGCTGTGGAAAATAGTCTGGCAGTTCCTCAAATGGTTAAACACAGAATTACCATATGATCCAGCAATTCCACTCAGGTATATACCCTAAGAGAAGTGAAAACATCCATACAAAAACTCGTACACAAATGTTCATAATAGACAAAAAGTGGAAACGACCCAACTGTCCATCAAAATGTGGTATTCCATATAATGGAATATTGTTTGGCAATAAAAAATGAAGTACAAATACATATTACAACATGGATGAACCTTGAAAACAGTAATACTAAGTGAAAGAAGCCAGTCACAAAGAATGATTCCATTTATATGAAATGTCCAGAATAGGCAAACCTGTAGAAACAGAAATTAGTTTAGTGATTGCCTAAGGCTGGCGAGAGTGGGGAGGGAATGGAGGATGAGAGCTGAGTGTGGGGCTTCTTTGGGGGGTATTGAAAAAGTTCTCAGATTGACTGGTGAGAGATGCATAACTCAGGATATAATAAAAGCCACTGAACTGTATATACAAATGAATTGTATATGAGTATATTTCAGGCTGTTAAAGAAAGTATTTTAATAAACGTGTTAATATATTTTTCTTTCAGTTCTTTCTACAACTTCAGCAGGCAGCATTGGAGGTCTTTGCAGAGAATAACACTCTCAGTAAATTGCAGCTGGGACAACTAGCCTCTATGGAGAGCTCTGTGTTTGATGACATGATTAACCTGTTAGAGCGCTTAAAGCATGACATGTTGACCCGTCAAGTAGACCATGTTTTTAGAGAAGTTAAAGATGTTGCAAAATTGTATAGAAAAGAAAGGTAAGTCCTCTGTATTTTCTTACAAGTCAACTCCAGTTTGGTAAAAGTTAAAAGATGATATATGCAGTTAAGACTTCCAAGGTGTCTAGATAACAGAGTTTGGCCTTTTACACTCCAAACTTTTAACTTTTTCTAATGGAAATCTTTCTAAAATATATTCATTCTTAATCAGAATAAACTGATCATCATTTAACCTTCAGATGTGTCTGGATTTAGAGCTGGTGTTTGATGTGGGTTAAATGGCCTAGGCTGTCACCCATTTTACAAAGTGAGGTGCCCCTGCGGCCTTCTGCAGGCTTGCTTCGTCCACTTTATTCTCCTGTCGTAACTCCATGGACAGCTCTGTTACTTCCTCCAGGTTGAGCTCCTTGACGGCAGGCAATGTCTTTTTGTCCTGGCACAAACTGTCACACAGAGTACTTAATCAATTTGGAAGTATTATTAGTCTCTGTTTTACTGAAACTTAGAGCATAAAATTAGCTCATGTCTTAAATGCTAATACATTTTACATTTAACTTTTATAATTATTTCAGTAAGTCATTAAAATTGGGGTAGTTGAAAAAATGTAATCTGTCATCTTCATTAAATAAGGAGTATTTAATTGAGAGCTAAAGTATGATTATAGGTATATTTATTTTTTGAGTGTTTCTAATGTTGGGCTGTACACTTTTTCTTATCCAAAATGCCCCAGGACAGTGCACTTCCCAAAATTTAAAATGATTTGCTAAATCTTTAAAAATACAAAGTAATGGAAAATTTTATGGTAAAAATTAATGTGCTCCTGGCGATGCTGTCTTTGTTTTTCCCAGGTGGCTGTCCTTGCCATCTCAGTCTGAGCAGGCAGTCATGTCCCTGTCTAGTTCGGCTTGCCCCTTCCTGCTTACGTTGCGAGACCGTTTACTGCAATTGGAGCAGCAGCTTTGCTTCTCCTTATTTAAAATTTTCTGGCAAATGCTCGTAGAGAAGCTGGATATGTACATCTACCAAGAAGTAAGTAAGAGTAGACTGTGTTTTGGGGCTGTGATGATAAAGGCAACTGGTAACACAAACTACTCTCGTTTTCAGATCATTCTGGCGAATCACTTCAACGAGGGAGGGGCGGCTCAGCTGCAGTTTGATATGACACGGAACCTTTTCCCCTTGTTCTCCCATTATTGCAAGAGACCAGAAAATTATTTCAAACAGTAAGCTCAGTATTTAACAATTGATTTTGATGTATCATCATTAGAGGAAGTTAATTCCTTTTTAACATTGTTAGGGGTCCAGTGCTGTTAAATATCTATAGCGTCAATTAAAAAATTTAAATACTGTGTACCAAAATAAGATGTGACCCATGACCCCCAAAAGTTTACCAGAACTGGATATAAATTATATGTTGGGCTTTTTTTCTAGCATTTAGTTTATTGCTCCTATTTGCTTATTACTTGGGAAATAAATAGAAAATGAAACAAGTATAGTTCTGCCATATTCAATAAACATAAGAAATTAAAAATGTTTAGTACCTAACTATTTTTAGAAATTGTTGATATAAAATTTAAGTTATTTAGGGCATTTATGTGAGGTTATAAAGTATCCCTTTTAAATTTATAAAATGAAAGGTTATTCTTGCTCATTTCAGTAACATATTATATGCTTTTTTTAGTATTTTACCTTTCTACTGGTTTCATTTCATCCCTTCACTTTCTCTTTTCCCACATCCTAATCTACCTAAAGTCTTAGTTACATTTACTAGAATGTTAATATCAAGTATTATATTTTGGATACATATTGAAAATAGTTGATCCTATGACCTTAATCTAATAAAATATAAACTCTGCACACATACATAGTCCTAACATGGTAAAAGAACCAAGCAATAAATCTAAACATAATTTTTACATAGGGCATGTGGACTAGCAGTGGAGGGTAGCTGTTTAGTTTCTCAAAATGAAATTGTTACAGGACAATATGAATGATAAAGATCATGGAGATCTCATTTCCCCCGTTTTATTTTTTATAGTGTAAAAGAAGCCTGCATTGTTCTGAATTTGAACATTGGCTCTGCCCTACTTCTGCAAAATGTCCTGCAATCAGACTCTGGGCAGCCTTCCGCCACAGCAGCATTAAACGAAATTGGAATTTACAAACTCGCTCAACAAGATGTTGAGATTCTGCTTAATTTGAGGACAACCTGGCCTAACACTGGAAAATAATGCATCTTTTTTTCATTTTGGGTTGTGTTTTTTTTTTTGGAGAAAGAGGAAGCCAACTGGATTAAGTTATATGTTGAAGTTCCAAATTAATGAAACTGGACAACTGAAAAATTTATAGAATCATTTATTATCTTGGACTTACGGTGTTATTAAAATGCTGACCATATTGCCTTAGTCCTCTTGTCTCTAAGAAAACAAAAAGAGAAAACTTAGAAGCTGTGAAAACCCAAGAGTAATTCCATTTACAAATACAAATGCTGTTGAATAAAATACAAGAGCACAGATAATAAATTATAACCAACTTTCAATTTCCTATGTTAATTAAGGGAGGCTGTTGTGGATAATCAAACACAGAAAATAAATTAAACAAAAATCATTTTAGAATGCATGTTTATAACTGAAGCTACTATATCTAGTTTGGAAACTCACTTGATTTCCCATAAGAAAACACAGTATGAGATAGTGACTAAAATAGGACTACTGTCATTTTTCACAAATGTCTATTTAAAATTTCCTACGGGGCCAGCCGAGTGGCGCGTTGGTTAAGAGGTGGCCTGGGACGCCAGAGGGCCCCAGTTTGGATCCCACATATGAGGGCCAGTGACACTACCCTCTACAGCTAAGATGCTGAACAACAGCTC